AAAACCATATAACCATGGTAATGAGGACCATGGTTTTACTTCTTGTGACCCCCATCCTACTAAACTAGTCAGCTAAACTCTGGATTCTAAGCAAGAACTTCTTTCTTTTTAGATGTTTAGTTCTAATTAATTTTATTTGAAGTAAAATGTTAATTCAATAAGGGCCTGATTAAAGATAAATATCAGTGTCTTATATCAATTAGGTGTTTATTATTTACAGATAATAAAGTTCTTAAAGGGAGATTCACCCCAAAATATAAATTGTCATCATTTACTCAACATCATGTCATTCCAAACCTGTATGAATTTCTTTCTTCTGTGGAACATAATTTGAGAAATTCAAGAAATTTTTGTCCATACAGTAGAAATCAAGGGTAACCAAAAGGGTTTGGTGACATTCTACAAAATCTTCTTTTGTGTTCAACAGAAGAAAGTCGTTTGGAACGACATAAGGGTGAGGAAATGATGACAGAATTTATTAGCAGTAACTTTCCGATAGTTGGCCTAAAATCCAAATACAACAAACTTGACTAAATATTTTCCCCTACTCATATCCGATTTGCTACTAACGAACTAATGGCTTACTAATTAAAAGTGTTACCCGCTTAGCATTTGTATGGATTAGCCTTCCATAAAACTACAACTAATGAAGTGTAGTGGGTTTCTGGTGCTTTTTTTCCTGGAATAAATGCCTTGAGCTGTATTTCTCTGCTCTGCTGCAGAGTCCGACTGCGCAACTGCAGCGAGAGCGAGAGCCGCAGCGACAGTACAGCTCAGACAAAATGCCTATGGATAATTTAATATTCGCGCAATGCATCCTTTATTTTTTAGCCTTCGTTTTTGGCTTTATAGCTATAGTACCTCTATCGGAGAACACGGAGGATTTTCGCGGGAAATGTCTGCTTTTCACGCGGGGGATGTGGCAGAACGAGAACATCACGGTGTCTAAGCAGCGCTTCATCATTGAGGAATGGGGACCACAGTCCTCCTGCAGCTTCATCACCGCTGTCGGCATCGCGTCGCTCATCCTGTCCGCCGTACAAGCCTGGAGGCTGCTGCTCTTCATCTGCAAAGGCCACGATGAGTGAGCGATTGTTTCTTTCATCGTATTGCTTGCTAATTTGTTGATGCCTCACATGTATTAGACCCGTGCCAGTGCGGTGGATGGGATGCATGGATGAAGTTATGTCATACAGCAGCACAGATGAGCTACTATATTCGTTAAATATTTAGTTTTAAATTCGATTTTATATGGGAAACATGTTCAATAACAATACAATGTGACACAATTTGTGATTAAGTAGTTTCATTGTTTTAAAGAAGAATGTGTGGCCTAACATAAAGTATAAATCAGCTGGCAGTGGCTATACTGTATGGTTTAGAACAGTTTCTAATCATGGAATGAATTCTGAACAATGAGATTGATTATTAATCATTGCTATATGATTATAGTCTGTCCAGCCTGAAATCAAAAGCCAGTATGGTTTACATTTAATAGACATACACACTAGATATTGCACTCTTTTTATATTTAGTATATAACTAAATCACACATAATTCTCAGGAAAAGCCACTACGATAATCGGTATAAGCAGCTATTATTTTATTATTGCTATTATAAAACTACTATTTCATTTTTAAATAATTTTAAACCATTCAAAAGGGTTAACTTATTTATTTTAAAAACCATATACCCATGGTAATGAGGACCATGGTTTTACTTCTTGTGACCCCCATCCTACTAAACTAGTCAGCTAAACTCTGGATTCTAAGCAAGAACTTCTTTCTTTTGGGTTTGGTGACATTCTACAAAATCTTCTTTTGTGTTCAACAGAAGAAAGTCGTTTGGAACGACATGAGGGTGAGGAAATGATGACTGAATTAATTAGCAGTAACTTTCCAGCAGTCTAGCTCAAAATCAATGCTTTACTTTTTACGATCGCAACTCATACCCACCTCCACTGAACGTGATTTTGAGGGGGCCCCATAGCAAATTCAGTGCATAGGGCCCAGAATTCCTAGCGACAGCCCTATATATATATATATATATAGGGCTATATATATTTATTGTTCCTCATTATATTTACATTATGCTATAAAAAGGGATAGGGGAATCAACTAACTAAGGTATCAACATGGAGAGACGTCATGATTGTCATAACAGTTTCAGGTGAATATAATTAGCATTTTTTACATGGTGGTTTTAACAAGAATATCTTTCTGATGGTTTGATGATGATAATCAAATTTTATTGCAGGTGCATTAGCAGACAGCACGTTATTTCATCCCAAATTCTAAATTATATCATCATTAATATTTTCCATACCCATGTTATTTAGTTTTATACGTGGAACACAAAAAGAGATATTAGGTGGAATGTCCAAGCTGCTTTTTTCCCCATACAATGAAATTAAATGGTTACATGCTGTACATACATGGTTTAAAAAATAAAAATAAAAATAGTGCACTATACTCCAGGTCTTCTGAAGCTACGTATACTGTATAATACTGTATGTATGCCAAAATATACAAGTTGTAAAGTTATAGTAAATGAAGCTCTCACCAATCTCAACCATGCTTGTGTAATCATAATGGCATCAAATATCATTTGTTCTTGCATGTCTCATGACCAATCATGACAAATAAGTGTGAATGAGCAAGCGTCAATGACATTTATATGGCTTCAGAACAGGGTTATTAGTTAACTCAAACTAAAATTAAACCGAAACGTAAAAAATAAACGTTAACTGAAATCAAATAAAATATCATAAACTGAACTTTCAGCTAGTTGTCATTGCAACATTGCTCATTTTAATTTAGTTTAAAGATGTACTAAAATAAATATTAATAATTGGGACGTAATGATTTACTCCACTCACAATGTGATACGATTTTCTCCCAATTATTATTATTTATTTTATTTTTACAAAAGATTTAAGACAAATTATAAATGAAAATGTGAATTGTCACATATTTGTATCGATTTTCAACCGGCTCGGGGTGCATCGTTACATCCCTAATTAATAAAAAAAACGAAATAGATAACTATACACAGCATTTTGTAGAATAAACAGTGAATCACTGTCCTTTGTCATTTTACGGAAAAGAGCAGCTCAGCATTCTGCAAAATATCTTCTTTTGTGTTCCACAGAAGAAAGAAAATAGTACAGGCTTGGAACAACTGGAGAGTGACTTCTGTAAAAATCTCTTTATTATTTATACAGCTCAATCTTCAATGCCTTCCTGAGTCTGCTCATCAGCACATTCGTAGTGTTTGTTGTGTTCCTGTCCAGCACAATAGTCAGTGTGGGTTTCAATCTATGGTGTGATGCTATCACAGAAGGAGGCAGTATGCCCAGCAGGTAAGCATGATGCTCAGGTATCCCACTATTTTCTGCTTCTACAGTGTGCATAAAAACACTACAATGTATATAAGAAACTGAAAACAATGACAGATAGTTGTTTTTAGACTGTATTTATAGCTTGGAAAGAGCCACAATTAATTGGGTAGGCCTTTTTTCGTCTGTCAGAGAGGGTTTGGTGACATTGAAATTAGTCAGAGGCTTTTGGCTCAGTTCACTTCAGTGACTGTTCGAGTTCAATCACATTTGTGACCCTGGACCACAAAACCAATCTTAAGTCGCTGGGGTATATTTGTAGCTATAGCCAAAAATACATCGTATGGGTCAAAATTATTGATTTTTCTTTTATGCCAAAAATCATTAGGATATTAATTAAAATCATGTTCCATGAAGATATTTTAAATATTTAGTTTTAAATTCGATTTTATATGGGAAACATGTTCAATAACAATACAATGTGACACAATTTGTGATTAAGTAGTTTCATTGTTTTAAAGAAGAATGTGTGGCCTAACATAAAGTATAAATCAGCTGGCAGTGGCTATACTGTATGGTTTAGAACAGTTTCTAATCATGGAATGAATTCTGAACAATGAGATTGATTATTAATCATTGCTATATGATTATAGTCTGTCCAGCCTGAAATCAAAAGCCAGTATGGTTTACATTTAATAGACATACACACTAGATATTGCACTCTTTTTATATTTAGTATATAACTAAATCACACATAATTCTCAGGAAAAGCCACTACGATAATCGGTATAAGCAGCTATTATTTTATTATTGCTATTATAAAACTACTATTTCATTTTTAAATAATTTTAAACCATTCAAAAGGGTTATTTCATCCCAAATTCTAAATTATATCATCATTAATATTTTCCATACCCATGTTATTTAGTTTTATACGTGGAACACAAAAAGAGATATTAGGTGGAATGTCCAAGCTGCTTTTTTCCCCATACAATGAAATTAAATGGTTACATGCTGTACATACATGGTTTAAAAAATAAAAATAAAAATAGTGCACTATACTCCAGGTCTTCTGAAGCTACGTATACTGTATAATACTGTATGTATGCCAAAATATACAAGTTGTAAAGTTATAGTAAATGAAGCTCTCACCAATCTCAACCATGCTTGTGTAATCATAATGGCATCAAATATCATTTGTTCTTGCATGTCTCATGACCAATCATGACAAATAAGTGTGAATGAGCAAGCGTCAATGACATTTATATGGCTTCAGAACAGGGTTATTAGTTAACTCAAACTAAAATTAAACCTAAACGTAAAAAATAAACGTTAACTGAAATCAAATAAAATATCATAAACTGAACTTTCAGCTAGTTGTCATTGCAACATTGCTCATTTTAATTTAGTTTAAAGATGTACTAAAATAAATATTAATAATTGGGACGTAATGATTTACTCCACTCACAATGTGATACGATTTTCTCCCAATTATTATTATTTATTTTCTGTTTACAAAAGATTTAAGACAAATTATAAATGAAAATGTGAATCGTCACATATTTGTATCGATTTTCAACCGGCTCGGGGTGCATCGTTACATCCCTAATTAATAAAAAAAACGAAATAGATAACTATACACAGCATTTTGTAGAATAAACAGTGAATCACTGTCCTTTGTCATTTTACGGAAAAGAGCAGCTCAGCATTCTGCAAAATATCTTCTTTTGTGTTCCACAGAAGAAAGAAAATAGTACAGGCTTGGAACAACTGGAGAGTGACTTCTGTAAAAATCTCTTTATTATTTATACAGCTCAATCTTCAATGCCTTCCTGAGTCTGCTCATCAGCACATTCGTAGTGTTTGTTGTGTTCCTGTCCAGCACAATAGTCAGTGTGGGTTTCAATCTATGGTGTGATGCTATCACAGAAGGAGGCAGTATGCCCAGCAGGTAAGCATGATGCTCAGGTATCCCACTATTTTCTGCTTCTACAGTGTGCATAAAAACACTACAATGTATATAAGAAACTGAAAACAATGACAGATAGTTGTTTTTAGACTGTATTTATAGCTTGGAAAGAGCCACAATTAATTGGGTAGGCCTTTTTTCGTCTGTCAGAGAGGGTTTGGTGACATTGAAATTAGTCAGAGGCTTTTGGCTCAGTTCACTTCAGTGACTGTTCGAGTTCAATCACATTTGTGACCCTGGACCACAAAACCAATCTTAAGTCGCTGGGGTATATTTGTAGCTATAGCCAAAAATACATCGTATGGGTCAAAATTATTGATTTTTCTTTTATGCCAAAAATCATTAGGATATTAATTAAAGATCATGTTCCATGAAGATATTTTGTAAATTTCCTACTGTAAATATTTTAAAATTTAATTTTTGATTAGTAATATGCATTGCTAAGAATTCATTTGAACCAACTTTAAATCTTATATTCGGGACAATACGGTATTTAGATTTTTTATCCTATCCTAACAAAATCCTAAAGCTTATTTATTCAGCTGTCAGATGATGTATAAAACTCAATTTCAATTGACCCTTATGGCTGGTTTTGTGGTCCAGGGTCACATTTTAGTGTCCACAGACTTCTACATTATTTCAATATAAACTCTGAATGTGTCTGACGAGCAGCTTTGTTCTTAGTTTTTATGAGCAATATCTACTTGATAAATGTTGATTCTTCAGGTGTCTGTGAATTATTCCTAACTGACTACTGTTCATTTCTAGCTGTGAAGATCTTCAGGACACTGATCTTGAACTAGGGTTGGACAACTCTGCTTTTTATGACCAGTTTGCCATAGCACAGGTTGGTCAGTTAAAAATAAAAATGTGTATGAGTGTTTTATATCAATCATTGTGTTGGCTTAAAGGGATAGTTCAACCAAAAATGCACTCATTTCTTCCCTGCGGCACTTTATCAACCTTTAACATTAGACAACATTCAGACTCTGTCTTGAATTTTCCTTTTCTAGTTTCTGTTTCACACTGCTTATTACCAGTTTTTATCATGAATATAACAGTCAGTCCTCCTCTGCTTCCTCTAGTTTGGGTTGTGGGCGGCCTGGCTGACTTGGCTCGGTATCACTGTCATGGCCTTTCTGAAGGTCTATCATAACTACCGTCAAGAGGATCTGGTCGACAGCTTAATCCACGAGAAAATGTTTCTACTCGGACGCTCGTCACGCCGGCGCTCTGATGTGGTAGATGAGAAAAGTGGCATGATATGATCAACTCAACATTTTCAACGCATTGAAATATACTGTCAAGTAAAATGTGTTCATAAGCCTCTAAATTTGGCTCAACTAGGTGGTGTTTCTCAACTTTAGATTGACCTCAATTGAGCTTAACTGAACCAAATGCTTCTGAATAACATTTTATTTGACATTCGACAATGACTGAGAACAGACATTCACGTGCACTCAATTGTTCGGACAGAGGTCATAGATCATTTACATTTTTTGATGTTGAGCTTGAAACACAAGACCCTGGACAAAATAAACAGTGAACATCAATAACTTAAAGGGATAGTTCAAGAAAAATTCAATTATTTTTCTACTTCATGTTGTCGCAAACCCACAAGACTTTCATTCATCTTCAAAACACAAAATGAAGATATTTTCAATGAAACCAGAGAGATTTCCATGGAAGCCCATTTCCACCACAGAATAAAAAAAAACATAAATAAAAAGGTCATTGCGACTTTTTATCTCACAATTAAGATTTCGAAGAATTGCGAGTTTAAATAGTTAAATAGTTAATATCTCATAACTGACTATTTTGCAAATTCTGACATTTTTCTTAGAATTGTGAGTTTATATCTCACAATTCTGAGTACATATCTCACAATTTAGAATTTACACCTCGTAATTCGGACTTTTTTCTCAGAATTGCGACATTATTTCTTGCAGTTCCGCGTTTATAGTCTCTTCAGTTCACTGTAACTCTGTAACACACTCAGGCCCACGTTTCCGAGTATAAAACATTATGCATAAGATTGTTTTGTGCATCATTTTATTTATTGTGTAATAGTGTGAACACATCTCTGCAACTTTCAACATTCTAAGTCTAGGGCTTTTATTTAATAAAAGCAGTAATAGCAGCATATACAGCAATGATGATGAAAATACAAAGCAATTGTTGATTTTTCTGATCATGAAATAAATCAAATTCAGTCTTTAAACTATAGTGATGATTTAGAGCTCTTTTTGGTTTTGAACATTTGAAACAAAAGAAATGCAGTGAATATACTGCCAAAAAGCACCTCTATTGAAATACACATTACAGAAAGACTAAATATAGAGAATGTGTACTTGTCCTGGGGCGATTTTATTGCTTCAGCGATTGGCTAGCTCAACAGTACAACATATGTAGTTTATTTCCGTTTTGTCATCCGAATTCCCCTGAAATGGGTATAGTAAGCAAGTGTGCTAATTATATATTGCATAAATGTATATGCATTTATATAAACGTCTCCATACAGTGCACAAAATATCATGGTATAATGAAACATTTGTTTTGTGTTTTGACATTTTCAGGTGTTTCTATCCAAGTAACTCACAGTGATTTGATGCAGGTCACAGCATTTGTGCACCTTTAACTTCTCTTAATCGATTGTGTTGAAGGGGATTAATTCAACTGCATTTTTAATAAATATTAAATATTTGGAGTAAGTAAGATTTTTAAAGTAAGCTCTTACCAAAACTGAATTTATTCGATTAAAAATACAGTAAAATATTAGAAATATTACTACAATTTAAAATCTCAGTTTTATATTTTAATATATTTAAAAAATGTAATTTATTCCTGTGATATTAAAGCATCATTACCCCTGTCTTCTGTGTCAGATGATTATTCAGAAATCATTCTGATATGCTGATTTGCTGTTCAAGGAATATTTCTTATTATCAATGTTGAAAAAACAAATATACTGTATATATATATATATATATATATATATATATTTTTTTTTTAAATGCATAAATTAAAATGATATATATATAATTTTTTTTCAGGATATTGAATAGAAAGTTCAAAAGAACAGCACTAATTTAATGCATCTGTGTTGAATAAAAATATTAATTTCTTTCAGAAAAAATTCTTACTGACCCCAAATGTTTGAACAGGTGTGTGTGTGTGTGAGTGTGTATAAGATCTCTTCATGATGACAGAGTTTTCAATTTTGGGTGTACTGTCTCTTTAATTCAAGCAACACATGCCAACTTATGTGCTAATGGAAAATAAGCAACTTTGACACTAGAAACCAAAGGCTGATACAATTTGATAGAAAATGCTTGCCCAAAAACTAGAAAAATAGATACTGAACAGCTGCTGCTATAAAGAAAGATTAAGAGACTAAAAGTGTAAAACTTGAGCGGAACAGTAAAAAAGATTCTTATAAAACATAGTAAAACAAATGAATGCACCGTTATTAGGCTTAAGCCAAGATGCTGGTACAGGTTTATGTAAAATATAAACTGAAATAGTGCGAGTATCATAAAGCGTTCAGCTATTTAAAATGGCATTCTTTCATTTGCCAGTTCAATCTGGCAGTGCATGACACAATATATGGCCAGCTCATCCTTTAACAGTCTCATATCTCTTTCTGAGAGAATTTGTGGCAGATGGAAACGTTTGTGCTTAACAGAACAGCTTTGCCCTTCGTTTCTCGTAAAGTAGATAAATGCTAAAGGTGTCGTCATTGTGCCAGTTCTCTTTTCTCATTTACATTGAAATATATTCTTTAACAATGATTAGTGTCATTTACATGTTTGATAAATGCATAAAACGCATATTTGTATTCTAAACCTATTTGATTATTAGTAAAATAAATAGCATTGTCTTGCATTCCACAGACACATTCAACCACATTATGTACAGCAAGTGCATTAAAAATAAAAGCATTGATTAAATGAAATATTTTTGGACATTAAAAGGGTCATATAATGCGATACATTGGTTCATAGAGAATACAGTGTGCACAATCTGTAAAGCCCGACTGATTTTGGGCCTGATAATAATCAATGACATAAGAGTGTTCACGGTAAAGAGAAGAAAATAATCTTTCATAAAATCTTTTCTAAAACTAAATTATAATTACGTTTTTGGGGAGTTGCACCACATGACATTTTACTAATAACAATATAACATTTCAGTGATATTATTAAGTAACTTAAATTTCAGTAGAATCCTCAATAAAAATGAGGATCACGTCTTTGATCTCATATTTAATTCAAATAAGATGACATGGTTGCACCAAAATCAAAATATTACGATGTTTTGAAGCTGGATGAAAATCAATACATTCTTGGATGCGTCTGAGGATAAACATATTTCCAACTCAATCCTGTCTTTATTTTTGTAATACAGTAAATTTATTTCAGCAGTTTCCTAAATTCACTCTTTGAATCAGAAAGCCCTTATATTGCTATTTATATCCTAAGACAAAAATAGCGCTTCAGAAATTGAGGTAAATATTATATAAAGCAAATGAACACAAAGAACAGCACTAGCAGGAAATGATCCAGCCATGCGTTTACTCATTCTATAAGCGCATGCGATGTGTGTGTGTGCGTGTCTAAGCGTTCTCTGCACTAAAATGTAACTATTTGTGACAATGCACATGATATTATGCATGTACTCACCGTTACATGTGGCTCATTTCATATTGCTTATTAGAGACCTGTAAAGGTATTCAATGTCTTGCATGCCTAATTTGACTGATAATACTGACCTATTAATATATCAGTAGGGCTCTACCTGTGGACGGAATTCATTCATTCGTTTTCTCTCTCGACACTCTTGTATAATTCTGAGTGCTAAAGGTTTTAATTAATATTGCTGCACAAGTATTCTTTGGAGAAGAACCAAAAGATGCTTTAAAGGAAACATTCAGCCAAAAATAAAAATGTACTGAAAATGTACTCAACCTCAGGCTAATCAAGATTTTTATGAGTTTGTTTCTTCATCGGAACAGATTTGGAGATATTTAGCATTACATCACTTGCTCACTAACGGATCCTCTGCAGTGAATGGGTGCCGTCAGAATGAGAGTCCAAAGAGCTGATAAAAACATCACAGTAATTCACAAGTAAAAGGGTTTAAAGTTTAAACGATGGATTACGATGGATTTGTTTCTCACAAACGCACAGCTTTTTGCTTCACAAAATGTGTGGAATACTTTTGAATCATTATGACATTTTTATCAGCTGTTTGAACTCTCATTCTGATGGCACCCATTTACTACAGAGGATCCACTGGTGAGCAAGTGATGTAATGCTAAAGAAACAAACTCATCTACATATTGGATGGCCTGAGGTTGAGTGAATGTTCAACACATTTTCATTTTTGGTGAACTATTCCTTTAAAACACATCATCCAGAACCGCTATACAAGGAAAAAGAGCTACATACAAAGATCTCAATATATATGGCTCAGTATAATGAGGCATTAGCCACCATAAAGGGCAAAAAGACACACCATCCCTTAATGGTGTGAAAAGCACATGGCCTTTAATCAACCACAAAATAAAAGAGGTGGATGTTGAAGATCCTCAGAGAATTCGACTGGTGGCCATTCTGATTATAACAGTGAAAATAAAGCAATAAAAAACAAGAGGACCTTTATCTTTTATTTCCTCCACAGTCCTTCAAAAAACATCCTGACCTTTTATGTTTTCCACCCCCCCTGCCTGTTGCTGCCCCCTGTGGTCAGTTATGGTCATTGCATGGTCAGCCAGATCCAGCAGGCCCAAACGATCTGTTTGAACTGAAGCAGGTACACAGCCAGTGCCGTCTGCAGCTCTTCGCAGGCGCGCTGAGGTCTCCGGCGGTCCGTGCAGTACAGTGCTAGACCCAGCGCAGACAGAAGCAGGAATAGGCAGGTGAGCAGGGCCAGGTGCAAATGGCTCTGGGGAGTGTCGTAGACTGGAACACACAATTTTAAATACTAAATTTGTTGCTGCGCAATGGTTTAAAACAGTGTAAAGCAGAGCCATATGACATGCAGAAAAAACATATCTAGCATGGCCACAAATTAAGAATTAGTTCCTTCATTTTCACAGCATTAATTCACAGCTACAATTTACTATTCATTACCTAATCATTATTCATAGTTAAATCATGGCCACAAATAAAAAATTAGTTATCGCAATTTATTAATTCACTCTCTTGTTTTAGTAAATTTTGGCCATGGTGTGCTAATTCTTCCCTCATTTTGTTTTATTTAAAACAAGGGAACAAATTAGTACAACGTTGCCATGATTTACTAAGGAGGTGTTTACACAACACCATTTTCAACTAAAAACAGAAAACTTTTTTATGTTTTGGCGATTCATTTACATGACAACTGCGTTTTGGGGGCCTGCTAACAAACTTCTGAAAACATGTTTCAAAGTTTTTGAAAACGATTCCGCGGTAATCTCTGTGTAAACTACAAAAACGCAAATTTGTGAAAATGGTGACGTCATGTGCATGTGTATCATGTTTGTGTAGTGTTTCTTTACAAAGTGACATTGCCAACTACTGGTCTGGCATGCATAATACAGTGATTTTAAGTCGTTTTCGCGGATCCCGTGTGAAAGACGATTGTTTTGACAACATTGTTGTCTGTACGCGAAAAATGTAAAGGAAGAACTTTTCTGTTTTTAGTAGATCATTGTTGTGTAAACGTACCCTAAATCGAGTAACT